CTTCTTTGTCTATGACATAAACCTCTCTTACTCCTGGGACAAGCTTTGCCATCTGTGTTGAGTTTGACTATGGGGGTGGAGGACAGTGACATTCACCTGGAGCTGTGGCCATCTTGAGCTACCCGTTCACAGGCCGTGTCTCCCAGGAGAGCTGCCTGCCCCGAGCAAGCCCTTGGCAAACCGGGAACGTGCCATCCCCGCGCGGTCACTGGCCGTGCCCTGGCTTGCTCTGACCCTCTAGCCCAGATACCGCTAGTTCTGCTCTATCAGCAGGGAATGACAACTGTTCGCCTCCTGAGTGCTTTTTAACAATAACTGTTGTTTTGTGATGTTCAGTGCTCTGTAGAGTCCTCAACAACTGGCAAAATGAATCATTTTTAACTTGATTTGCTCATTTCATTCCACAGTGTCCCTTCCCCCTCCTCCCCTAAAACTGGCTTGATTTCTAAGGCCAGACTATAACAATTCTTGTTGGTACCGTAAAACTGGTTCTAAGGTCCCCCTTTTTTTAATTGTACTTTTATACCAGTAAAAGCATTACAGTGGACACACTGGTAATATCTTATTTAATTCAAGAACCAGCATATGGACTACCTCCCCTGAGGGGTTTTGCCTCTGTACTTGCAAGAAATAGGCCCCAAGAGTCATGGGACAAGAGTAAAGGGCCTGGAAAAAGTAAGTTAAGATAGCTGAGCAAAATTTCTAACTGGAAGTTAAGGCTAGGAAGTAATTTTCCAATTTTGAGTTCTAGTGGTTCTCGGTGTTAAACTCCTACTTACCCTAGAATCAGCTGTATATAATAGCATTCCAGAAAAAATAAAAAAAAATACCCTTGCCACAGAAATCTGTTTGTAACGTTACAAGCAGCTGACAGGGCAGGGCGGCGTGGGGATCGCAAGGGAAGCCGAAAGGGGGTGAGTGCAGGATAGGGGTGCCCAGGCTGTGCTTTGTCTCTCTGTCCTTTCCCAGCCCTTCCACAGCAGCTGTTTGCACTGGTGCTCCCAGTCAGGGAACTCCCTGCTTAACTCTCGCTTAGCCTGAAGTTTGCACCCTGTCTTCCATCGCCTTCGCAGCGGGGTATGATGGAAAGTGTTGCCTGGCAAAGTACATGTTAATAAAGAAAGTCATCCCCCAGCATGCAGCTGTAGCAGCACCTGTTTCAACAGTTCTGTATTCCTGAAGATAGGAGGGGCGGGTGAAGGTTTTTATCAATTTCTGTTGGGCCTTTGTCTATCTTCTGGTTTCCAGAGTGCTCCCACAATGGCAGGTGGAGCAGGACCAGGTGACTGCTAGTTAAGCATTGCCAGTGGCTTTTGTCTGATGCATAATACAAAAATCTCCGGCCCATCTCAGAGCTTATAATCTAATCGGTGCATGATTAATTATTAAAGCCATTTTGGCGCTGCTGTTAGAGACAGAAGTAGAATTTCAGCAAGCAGATCTGTTACGCTGTAGCTCTAGCAGGAAGAACTTGTCATTTTTACATCAAATATTTCTCATACAGTGATCGTTGAGTAGTGGAAGTGGCCAAATATTATTTTAATGAGGAATGCTCAGAATATCTGATGTCATATAGCATAAAATATTACTCAGCAGCAGCATGGGGCAGCATACTGTCATTTTGATCGTTTTTTTAATGGACGTAACTAAATACTGCCCCATATAATTGCTGCACTGTTTGTTATCGGAGCAAAAAAAGACTAATCGTGCATCACCCAGGTCTTAGTTTGGATGATGATGAGATGGAACGTAAGTTCTCCCTGCAACGTTACTGTCCTGCTCCACTTGAGGGTGATGCCCCGAGGTTGTGAGAGCGCTGTAGATCTCCCTTTTGGTGAGGCTGAACAATGTTAAATGCCTACAGAGGTGGAAAAGGTGAACAGCAGACTTCCGTGTGAAACGGAAAAAGGCCGCATGGTATTTTTTTTGCAAGAGAAAAGATTATGGGATGATTGGAGAATATACAGAAGGATTTGATGCCAGTAAACTTTTGCCGAAATCCTTGTTCCCATACAGAGACTGAAGCAGTCAGTATCTCTAAAGCTCAGCTACTGCAGACCCCAAGGGTATCATAAATTCATTTGTTGGTAAGTAAACGTTTTGTGCGGGGGGTGTTTTCAATATAGCAGCCACTACCCTGAAAACCGCACGCATCAGACTGATTATGTAGATACCCTGTTCAGCCTTGCTTCTGGTCTGCGCAAACACGACTGGTCAAACATGACTTAAAGAGCAATAGCAGAACTGATTCAGCTGCAAGGTTAGCTGCAATAAGAACTATTTTCGGCTTACAGAAACAGATCTTCCCTCTTTGGCATTGCGGATTTAAACTACATTGGGTTTGGTAGATTCAGAAAAGGTCAGCGCAGAGCAGAAGAAGGAACAGGCTCAGAGTAAAATCAAGGTTATCCAAACTCTGGATTAGCAAATACTAGTTTTACATTTAGCTGTTTCAAAACAGTAAGAAAAAAAAATAACCTACTTTGCAAAAATAATGAATGTTGAAAATGACCAGCAAGGTGCATTTATTCTGCCCACTGACAAAACATAAACACAGAATATGTAATATTTTACATTCTTCAGCATTTGTCTTCCAGGAATCCTAGTACGTTGCAGACTTTGAGATAATCCTCAAATCCTTGTGTGCCTGGAGACAGTTCATTCCATAATTATAAAAATATAACTTGTTTAACCTTTCTCTAAAGCAGGAGATGCTAGTCTGTATGAAATAAAGAATTGGATCAAAAAAAAATTTGTCTGATATGGCGTGGCTCATTCTAAAATGCAGATGTTATGGTTTTGACTAAGTTTTATGGTTTTGAAGCAGTTTTGAAAACCTATTTATATTCCATGCCACTAGTCTGGAAGGTCCTTGTTTTCCTGCGTGTCTGCAAAAGGGCATTTTTGTTTGTTACAATCCAGCACTGATTGAGATTCTCTGCCTCTAGAGAAGAGAAAACCCATGAAAACACTGCTATTTATACCTTAGCTTTTGTTACTCCTGATTTGTCAGAAGCTGGTTCACAACTTTAGTATAACTATTTTTATACAATGCTGCCCTGAGAAGCTTTTTAAGGAAAGTGCTTTGTAAGTGGAAACTATATTGTTCATCCGTCTTTCCAGCAAGTGGAGCATTTTTCAATCAATCATGTGTAGAATAATAGGATGCATTTCACTTATACAGTAAG